TCATCCGACAGTCTCGAGCTATATGTCCAGGTTCCTGACATTTAAAGCATACTCGAGATTCTGTATTGCAATTTCCCTGATGTATTTTATGACATCGAGTACACGCCTTATCATTAAACCTTGAGACTGGTCGATTCACATTTTCCATAAATCTCGGTCTACAGAACTCAGTTAACGTAGCTTCCCCTTTTCTTTTCTCTCCAACCCTTTCTTGCGGTTGCCCGTTAATATCTTGTTCCAATATTTCAGCAGCATCAACTGCCGCTTGAAATGTTGTCGGATTTCTGGATATCACATACTTTCGAAGATTCGATTCCAATCCCCAGATATATTTTCTCACTTTATTGTTTTCAGATATAATATAGGCTTCAGCAAACCTAGATTGTTCCATGAAAACTTCTGTATACTGGCGGACTGGCATGTTTCCTTGCTCAAGACGAAGGAAATCATCTTCCAACTTTCTAACTACAGCTTCAGGACAATACTGCATTTTAAACTTCACCACAAATTCTTCCCACAGCATAGTTTTCAGAATATTCGGATCTGAACTTGACAAAACTTCCCACCAGTATAAAGCACTTGATCTCAAACGAGATACAGCAAACATAACTTTGTCTTCTTCTGCACTTTTACTAATTTGCAGACTCAGCTCTATCTCCTTAAGCAAACACATAGCTTTAACAGGATCACGCTCACCAGAAAACTTAGGAGGTTTACAAGCAAGAAACATCTTGATATCTCCTCCCTTTTGCACTGAGGACGAAGTGAGGGGTACAGATGTACCAGTTACCGGTGTACTAGCTCCGGCTTCCTCCTGATCGGAATTTCTTATCACATTTGGATTAGTTTGGTTTGTAAACTTTAACAAATTTACCAAACTTTCCTGAAACTTTCCCAGCTCTGCTGCCAACATATCTTGAGTAATATACTCAGGGTCAGAAACATTATGTCTACCCCTTGCTCTTCCTCTACCATGGCTAGACATTGAACTTTCTTGGGCCGACAATTCCTATTCCTGTCTAGTTCCTCTACCTCTTCCTTGTCCTCTGCTACGACTTTGTGTTTCTATTACATTTTCTTGATCCTCTCCTTGTGTAACATTTCTTCTTCCCCGACCTCTTCCATATCCAGTTGAGGTCCTTCCCGATTGATTGGGATTATCTGTCATTTCTCAGTATGTAACCTTTTCTGTCACATTTAAACACACATGATTATTCTCATAATCAYAAYATAATAACACATTTATCCTCATGTCTACTCATACTCAGATTATATCAGTCATATATAATCTATCTTTCTCATAATAGTTTCAGTTATAACATATTCTCATGTTCATAGACCCAGTGAAACTTATTATCATAACTTTCCACACCTCTAGTTTAAGTCTAAGTATTTCGCAAATATCCAGATCCCTTAAACTAAGGCTCTGATACCAATTGTAACAACCCTCATAATCCCATATACATATAATTCACATCATCATACTCATAATACTAAAAACA